TCTTCTTAGAAGAATCGCAGAGGGTTTTTTCTTGGGGTTTTGGAGCCTGCTGGAGATCAGCGGTCTGTAGGATCCGACCCTCCGCCCAGTTGCTTCACTGTTGTTGTTTTTTTCTCGCTCGCAGGAAAAATTGACAAAGAGCCTAGCTTATATCCTGAGCAATCAAGACACAGTGCAGGCGCAAATCAACGAATTGGAAGAGACTCTTCGGCTGACGGAGGTAATTTTGCTCTCCGTTGTTGGGGTTGAACCCAGGCCCAAACAATCAGGAAGATTTGGTCTACAAGTTTGGAACTAACTTCCTTGCTTCCGCGTCCTTTGTCCGTAAAATAACGGGCTTTCATTCCCCTGCTGACGGGGGAATTCTGGGAGTTGAAGTCCACCCATCTTCCCCTGTTCACTGGGGAATTCTGGGAGTTGAAGTCCACCCATCTTCCCCTTTTCACTGGGGGATTCTGGGAGTTGAAGTCCACCCATCTTCCCCTTTTCACTGGGGGATTCTGGGAGTTGAAGTCCACCCATCTTCCCGTATTGACTGGAGAGTTCTGGGAGTTGAAGTCCACCCATCTTCCCCTGTTCACTGGGGAATTTTGGGAGTTGAAGCGCACCCATCTTCCCCTGCTTACTGGGGAATTCTGGGAGTTGAAGCCCACCCATCTTCCCGTATTGACTGGGGAATTCTGGGAGTTGAAGTCCACCCATCTTAAAGCATGCTGACTGGGGAATTCTGGGAGTTGAAGTCCACCCATCTTCCCCTGCTGACTGGGGAATTCTGGGAGTTGAAGCCCACTCATCTTCCCATATTGACTGGGGAATTTATTTGGGATGGCAGAGGGTTTCCTGCCTGAGCAGGGGGCTGGACTAGAAGACCTCCAAGGTCCCTTTCCAACTCTATTCTGATTGAACGGCCACCGTAAATCAAGGACTCGATTCATTTCTGCCATCCGGGTTTATCCGAGATGGTATTTCACGGGCAAAATTCAAATAATTTGCCCAATTTCCCGGCAGGTGAATGGCACCCAGGCCAAGGAAGAGATCATAAGGCTGATGAACAACTTAAGCGGCCTGCTGGATGAGAAGCGGTCTGCCCTGCTTAACGCAATCGAGGATTGTCGCCAGGACCGGGTCAGCCGGCTACAAACCCAGTTACAGGAACATCAAGCCATGATGGAGAATTCTGGCATGGTGGGTTACTCACAGGAGGTCTTGAAGGAAACGGATCAGCCCTGCTTCGTCCAGGCCGCCAGGCAGCTTCACCACAGGTGGGTGAGGCCAAATTTCCCCCCTGATTCTCGATTTTTTCCCCCTCTTCATTCCTGCTCTTCTCTTGACCGCTCCGTCTTTCCGACAGGATCCTCAGAGCGACGGATTCCCTCCAGGCCTTCCGGCCAGCGGCCAGCGCCTCCTTCGGCCAATTCCAGGTGGACATCAGCCGGGAAGTGAAGCTCCTAACAGACCTCATTTTTATTAAAGGTGCGTAAAATCGCCATTTTTGAATGATGGGAAACGGGAAGGATTTTTTATTCCTTCCAGCGACCACAAAATGTTAATTTTTCTCTCCCCAAAGTTAAAATTAGCAGCCGATCGGTGCCATTTCTGACTGAAGTTCCTTAAAATCTCTCCCCCCCACCCATTTGTATGGCCGCTATGCTCTTTTTCAAGTCCTCGTTTAGTGACTGCCTCATTTAGCGACCATTTGCAGTCACGGCCCATGACGAGAAAGTAACTTTCCTCGCATCGAAGAACTTCTCGGGTCTTGTAACGCAAAGCAAAATGGCGAGGAAGATAATTCGCACGGTCAACATTCTACTTAGTGACTGCCTCGCTTAACGGCCCTGTTGTTGGTTCTCATTGCGGTCGCTAAGCGAGGATGACCTGTAAATGGCAGGCATGCGAATTGCTACCAATGTAGTTCCGGAGTCCTTTGCACTGGCTTGTAAGTACCTGTGTATCTAAATAGTTCCCAACCTTGGTGATTTTAAGATATGCGGACTTCAACTCCCAGAATTCCCCAGCCAGCCATGTCGAAGTCCATCCATCTTCCTCTGCTGACTGGGGAATTCTGGGAATTGAAGTCCATCCATCTTCCTCTGCTGACTGGGGAATTCTGGGAATTGAAGTCCATCCATCTTCCCCTGATGACTGGGGGATTCTGGGAGTTGAAGTCCATCCATCTTCCCCTGATGACTGGGGGATTCTGGGAGTTGAAGTCCATCCATCTTCCCCTGATGACTGGGGGATTCTGGGAGTTGAAGTCCATCCATTTTCCCCTGATGACTGGGGCATTCTGGGAGTTGAAATCCATCCATCTTCCCCTGATGACTGGGGGGATTCTGGGAGTTGAAGTCCATCCATCTTCCCCTGATGACTGGGGAATTCTGGGAGTTGGAATCCACCCCTCTTAAAACAAGCTATCTGGGGGGATTCTGGGAGTTGAAGTCCATCCATTTTCCTTGCTGACTGGGGAATTCTGGGAGTTGAAGTCCACCCCTCTTAAAACATGTTATCTGGGGGATTCTGGGAGTTGAAGTCCACCCCTCTTAAAACAAGCTATCTGGGGGGATTCTGGGAGTTGAAGTCCACCCATCTTAAAACTCACTATCTGGGGGATTCTGGGAGTTGAAGTCCACCCATCTTAAAACACGTTATCTGGGGATTCTGGGAGTTGAAGTCCACCCCTCTTAAAGTTGCCAAGGTTGGGAATCACTGCTGTGGATCAAAAGATCTTAATACCTCAAGAGTTTCCCGCAACAGGAGTGCCAATTTTGTACCGTGAGCCCCTCGGGGCACGTACCGTGTTGTTTTTTTGTATGTGTTGTGTATCTGTGTGGCATGACCCCTGGACGAGCGGAAAGACCGTGGAACTTGGAACCGTCGGCGCGGTGGTGAGTCCACCTTGGCCCCCACCTCCTCCTCCTCTACCTGTCCCTCACCTGCAGACGGGCTCCCCGAGACGCTTTCCGATGCTTTCATTCCCGTCGCTTGTATCGTTTTAATTCTCAGGGTCCCCAGCCAACTTCCCTCTTTCCCCCTCGCCCGGCCGCCATCCATAATCCACGGCCAGCCCCACGTTTGAGCCACAGGGCCTGCCCACCCCACGGCCCAATTCTCTCAGGTGTGCTTGGCTGTCGATCCACCCATCTGTCACACAGTCATTAAGTGAATCCGGCTTCCCCCTAGGAACCGCCAAAGGGGATCGCACGATCCTCGGACGCTGCGGCCGTTCCTAAAGAAGGGTTCCGTTGCGAAGCGTCTGACGTCGAGAAACTCGACGGACGTCCGAGAAACTCCCAATGGCCGCTAAAACGAGCATTTGCAGGTCGGGAAGTCGCCTGTAGTTTTGGAACGGATTGGTTTAGGATTCATTTAAGGGGACCCGGTGGCGAAGACGCCGAGCTTGTCGATCAGAAAGGTCGGCAGTTCGAATCCCCAGCGCCGCATAACGGAGCGAGCTCCCGTTCCTTGTCCCGGCTTCTGCCGACCTAGCCGTTCGAAAGCACGTTAAAAAAAAATGCAAGTAGAAAAATAGGAACCACCTTTGGTGGGAAGGGAACGTCGTTCCATGCGCCTTCGGCGTTGAGTCATGCCGGCCACATGACCACGGAGACGTCTTCGGACAACGCTGGCTCTTCGGCTTTGAAACGGAGATGAGCAGCGCCCTCCTAGAGTCAGGAATGACTAGCACATATGTGCGAGGGGAACTTTTATCTTTTGAGGGCAGGACGAAAGCTCCCCGGACGTCCGGCGGCCCACGGGAATCCTGGTTGTTTTGGCTCCCACGGGAACCGAGTTTAATTATGGTTTCCCGCCGGGTCGAAGCCCGCCTCCCGCCCACCCCACGGCCCACTCCTGCCAAGTTGCGTGGCTGTTGATCCCTCTGCTTTACCTCTCTTTGTTTATAGGCTGGCTCTGCTGCTGAGACATCACCGCAGTTAAAGCTGAGGCAAGTCACCTCCCGCTCCACCGTTCCCGTCCCTCCCCGATCCTTTCCCGCCTCCCCTTCTCTTTCTTCTCCTCAGCCCCATGGATCTGATCCCGCCCTTCCGTTGCATCCATTCCTCCCTCCTCCTCCTCCACAGACCTCGTTTTTGGGACCTTCTGCTCTGCTATTTCCAAACCCTCGTGGAAATAAACGTTCTAGTCCTCATGAACGCCGAGGGAGCCTCCGCGAGGGCTTCGAATGCCGGAATGCTTATTTGCACCGAGGGTTTTCCGATCAAGAGCACTCTTAAAAAAACTTTTCCTACCTGCTATAGCTCCTCGCAATTCCCTTCCGAGGCCTCGCTCTTAATTTTTTTTGCGAAACAAATCATGGCTTATTATTTCGTCGAAATTCCTTGTTATCCTGGATCGGTTGGACTGAACCTGAGTGGGGGGGCTTGGGTTTATGGAGGGAAGGCCAGGGGATTGCTGAAGAGGTGAATAGAATAGAATAGAATAGAATAGAATAGAATAGAAGGAACATTTAACAGAAAATCAAGAATTAGAAGGGACCTTGGAGGTCTTCTAGTCCAACCCCCGAGAACGGATCTATACCATTTCAGATAAGTGGCTGTCCGGTCCCTTTTTTAAAAACCTCCTGTGATCTTCTGGACAGTGGAAACCTGGTTGTGGAGTCCCCAAAAGAAGCTAAAGCGAGGTTAGAGA